ATCTTTGGTCATGGGACATGAATCCTCCACAAAAACCCAGTGACATGCCTCATGATTCCAAAAGCCAGCTATTGGATTCTACCAAGCTTTAATGTCTTTAGATACAGAGTTGGTAATAGGCTGCCCATTGTCCAAAGACCAGCCTGAATAAATGATGATCATTCAGTTAGCGTTTATTAAGCACCTACTCTATGCACTATTTATAATTTGCACAAAAGACAAAAGTAAAATAATCTCCACTTTAAAGAGTTTATATTCTGTCTTGTTAGAGATAACAATAGGGGCAACTAGGTGGCCCAGTGGATAGAGCACCAGCCCTGAAGTCAGGAGGAGTTGAGTTTGACTCTGACGTTAGACTCATATATAACACTCAGCTGTGTGACTCTGGGCAAGTCACTTAACCCTGGTTGCTTCACCAAAAAGAGAGAGAGAGAGAGACAGAGAGAGACAGAGAACAATAGCTGGCATAAGTCCTTTAAGGCTTGCAGAGTACTTTACCTTTATTATATCATTTGATGACGACTTTCTCAGGTACCTGCCAAATTTGGAGAGCTTCATCATGACTAATAATTTGTCTACCAGCTAATGACTGTGACCAAACAAATAATCTGCAAAATGAGATCCAGTTCCTACTGACTTCTTTCTGGTGGCAAATGATAATAAGGGGGACGGAGGGTGCTAAGAATTATACAGTTCTTAGGCCATTTACAGGCATTGGTTTCAGAATATAAGATCTTTGTCTTATGATCAACTAAATGACACAGTATAGGAAGAACTAAACCAATTTCCATTCTTACCAAAACTGAAATCTGAAGATGTAAAGAAACTCCATTCAGTTCAATAATTCAATGAGTGTTTATTAAATATCTCCTGCAAAAAAAGAGTATCTGCCATCAGGATGCTTACATTTTTCTGAAGGTTGCAACAGTAAACAAAGAAGTATAATGCAAGAAAAAATGAGGAAGAGAACACTAGTAATTAATAATAACAATCAGAAGACATCACAAAGAAGGTAACACCTGAGCTGGTCCTTCACAGAAGACAGTCATTCCATGTAGTTAAACCAAGATAGCTCCTAGCTCATCCTGGGATAGTAGAATAATGGAATTAACAGAATTGGTTTCATCACATGCCCAAGGGCAACAAGAAAGATCATTTTGTAGGACACTTGGTCATATCGCTTTGCTGTGCTTCTGATGAGTATAGGCAAGGGGACCAAGATGAAGATGTTTTCAAAAAGTAGACCAGTGTCTGTTGCAAAGATTTAGCACTAAAGAAATTTTATGATAAGCTTAACAAGATTCTCTAAAACCAAGTCAAAATATACTTCAGCCCTTGATGACCTTTATGCAAAAGTAGTCACATGAAGAGATGGTAAAAATAGTTGGAAAATATAATTCAGGATTAGGAAAGAAAGATAGAAAATACAGAACCTTAAATCTGGAATCATAGATATTTTAGGAAAATTGCTGGAAATCCATAGACCTGAATAACAACACCAAACAAATGAAATTCATTTTTTTTTCCTTGAGAAAATGGCACATTACCAAGGTAGGTGTCGTTTCAGAATTAGCTGTGTTCAGTCAAATCACTGATTGCTAAAACAAAGATCAAAATTGACACAAGGTTAGAAGAAAGGATTAAGATAATCATCAGACACAATTACAGCAGCTCCAGCACAACCTATTGAAATTATCTGTGGCCTATTAAATATGGGAAAGAGGTAACAGCAAAGGCATTGATTTTCATTATCATTGTTTGTCAAGGAAGCTCAGTCGATGTAAAGCAGTCATTACAATAAGGAGGCCAAAAGAACCCAGAAAAACGTCTTGGCCAATAAAAACATAATATAGTTTCCAGGTAGAGAGAAATGACAGTGAAGGGAAACATGAATTTAGGACATAAGGTCATTTACAAAATATCACAGAATAAGATAATGAAAGATTGTAAGCAGAGTAATTTCACAGAACAGCAAAAACCAACCGGAAAGGAAAATGAACCTGAAAAAAATTAGCCAGATCATTCCAAGGATTTTTATGCATAAAATTGAAAGGGAACAATAGATATGAAATAAGAGAAATTTATTAGTGCTTCTGTAGAACTCTACCTTCTTCCTCAGTGGCATGGAATCTCAGCCTTTGGACATCTCAGTACACAATGTACTATACAACGATATAGAAATGAATTTCAATAAAATGAACTCAGGAAGAATTACTATACCAGATTGAATTACAGAGGAAATCTGTGCTGGAGCCTACTCAATTTTAAAAGCAATCAAAAATGAATTTTTAAAATATGATAGAGAAAATTCCAAAAGAAAGAGTATACCGTGAATGGTATTACTACAAAATAAGATGTTCAAGAAGACATCAGTAACTACTGGTTCATGTGCCTAATTTCTCATCTCTGGAAAATCTTTACAAGAATTTTAGATAAATATAAATTTTTCTGTGTCTGTCTACATCTCTATTCATATATACACACATATTGAGGACATTTTTCAAGAAATAGGTAGATTTTTTGCAGGTGATTCTCTGCAACAGACTATATCTAGTCACAAAAGTGACTGAATGCTATAGAAAACACTAAGGTACAGTCTGTTTTAGAAAATCGCCTATAAAAGTCTGCCCATCCCCTTGTAGAACATATGCATTGTTGATTTTTTTTATTATTATTTAGCATTTGACTTAGTGAAGCATATCTCGGACTTGAAGATTTCTTGAGCAAGGTGTCCCCTATGCACATGTTAGTATTATACAAGATTCCTTGATAGATATAAGCAGAAAGAACTTTATTCAATGGTCCTCTGATTTTTTTAATATTACGAGGTATAAAATATAAACCCTTTAAACCACAACCATGCCCAATGTCCAAATGGAAAAGGGATTGACCTTAGGTGTTGCTTAGTAGTTATCTTTATTTTTAAATGGTTTATTGATTTTTTTTTGCATGTTTACAGCACTCTCAGTTCTGAGCAAGACCCCCTCTCTCTTAAAACAAAACAAAAAACCCCAAGTAAAACAAATGTGACACAGTGACTGTGACTGACAGTATTTAAATACATTTTATCATCAGTTCATCTAGAAGCAATATTAGGTAGTGTCTATAATCTGAATTCTGGTACATTTTGGTTTTGTATTCCTTTATATCATTTTTGTCATTGTGTGTATGTGTGTGTGTATATATATAATATATACGTGGGGGGGTATATACACACACACACACACACACAGATATATATATTTCTCTTCAGTTTCTGTTTCCTTCATTATGTATCAGTTCTTCTAAGTTTTCCAATACTTCTTTGATTTTCTCTCAATTTAGAGCTTAACCAACAGTGTATTGATTCACTGAGGTCTTCTCTACATGCTTCCTGTTTTGTGATGACATTGTGCTAATTACATCAAACTTCATAATATGCATCTGAATGGGCAGGCCATTAAGCTAATCCTTATTAGAGCTTGCATATATACTTCATAGGGCCAATTACAGAATTAAACAGGAGGGGAGTGAGCTGAATTACATTTGAGAAATTAGAGCTTTCAGAAATCACAAGCTCTACTCCCAAAGTACATGTTTGTATGGTGATTCCCAGTGGAGTTTTATACCTATAAATCATGAAACACCATGATATCGGAAGGTGTGTGATCCAAAGGACGAGTGAAAGATGTTGGTTGAGTTTAACTGGACTGTTAAGATACAGCTATTGATGACTCATATGTAAGAAATAACATAAAAGATATAATCAAGGACATTCGTGTCAGGAAAAGAAGGTGGGCCATTCATATATCAAGACAACTCGCGAACTGCCCAAATATTGCTCTTGGTATCCATGAAATATTAAAATACCCAGAGGCGGATCTCTAGTACTCTACACAGAAGTCTACAAAGACCTAGATAAGAATCACACAGAATGAGAAAATACAGATGATTCCATCTTCACTGTTGGAGTACTCAACATTGATGAGAGCACAGGCATATTAAATATTGGAATCTAAGAAAATTGAATGACACAGATAAATGAAATCTCCAGAGAATGGGAAAACATTCTGACCAATACTTTTGCTTCTCACCTAATCAAACTTGTCACCAGAGTTACAAAGAAAAAGGAAAAGTTAAATGTTTTTAGTTTCCTATCTCATTTCCCCTGAGAACCCTCTGGTAGAAATGAGAAAAGAGAGAAAGTAAAAAATCTGGATTATTGGGCCCCCACAACACCCATAGTTTCCTATAATATACTATTATTATTTATCTATATCCAACAAGTTACTTGTCTTACTCCTACTACATTAAAAGTTTCTTCCGGGTAGGAACATGTGCCCTATTTATCTTTGTCTCTTCCTCATTACCTAGTAATGATGTATTGCAGTTGTTAAATGTTTAATTTATTGAATGAATGAAATAAGTGGCTCTAAAGTAGTCAACATAATTTAAAGGCTAAATAAATTCAATCCAAATGTTTTCTTAGTTTCTGTCATTTAAAGTTATTCAAGTGAACAGCTTCCATCTCATAAGGTACTAAAAAAATGATAGAATTTCCAAAACTAAATTCTCTTCACCATAATGGGAAGCATTTTTTGGCCAAACTTGTTATGATCCAGGCCCTCGTGATAAAATGTGAATAAAATGTGACCGTGTTAAACTGCTGTCTTCTCTCTCATGAGTTTGTGAAGTTCATTACTTTTAGATCATGAACATTTTAGAATGACTGTTAAATGTCTAAAAAACATTAAAAATTAAAGATCATTTCTAAAATACCACTTTCTCCAAACAACATGTTGAAATGCTTAAAAGCCTCTTTAATTTATCAACGTATTTTTTAATAGTGCCTGTCCCAGCATGGCAGTATAGAAAGAGCAGATTGCTGTCTGCTGATGTTACAAGCATGCTTATGAAAGAAAGGACCTCTTTTGGAAGCTTGTCAAAGTGAAAATAAGTTTTATGGGGATTTTTCTGCCCTCAGTACTGTTTGTGGTAATGTTGTTTTGCTTTATTTTTAGACGACTCAACACATTGAACAGGTGTGCCCCAATGAAACTTGATGTGAACATCCAAAGGAAAAAGGTAGGTGAGGAAATCAGTATCAAAATAATAGTTGTAATGGTAGAAAAGCCATGCTTCTGGAGTTTTGAACTAGATGAACTTTCCATTTTAATGGTGGGAGGCAAAATTTTGAAGCTTGTAGGATGTGGTTTGTTTTGTTTTGTTTTGTTTTTTAGTATTGTGTCATTTAGTTTAACTGTGCCCTACAACATGCCATTTTCTTGTCATTTTTTTCCCCAGAGGTTTGCACAGAGATCTCATACTACCTTAAAATAACTGTAATATTTGTAATAATGATTCAGAAGTTAGTCTTTGCAGGCTGGGTCAATAACTTCTGGAGTTACTGAAAATGGGAGAGTGTGACCATATGAAAGGCCATATGTTTATCTTCTTTCATCATACAAGAAATCTTCAGTTTTTGTTTTTTGCTTCTTTTTTTTTTTCCAGAAAAGAAAACATAATTTGCAGCTTTGATAAAAAGAAAGGATTTCACGTTCTGGGATGGGTGTAGGGACATGTGTGAGCATATATATTTCTGTATATATGAAAAATGATGGTTTCAAAATCAGTCTTGAAACTTTAATATAATCTTAAGCTTGACTTCCTGTGCTAGAAAAAGCACAGTTACATAGATTTTGTTACAGCTTACCTCAAAAACACATTTTTGAGCCTCACTTGGAATTTGAAGGAAAATAAGCAAAAAATGAAAAGGAATATCCAAAAGAACATTAAAAGTTGAGTGTTTTCATCTAATCAAAATAACAAGGAAGAATATGGTAATAAACCTTGCAACAGCTGCCATGTTGAATAACCCTCTTGAGAAATGTATATACTATTTGAGCCATAAGGGTCAATTTTTGCTCTGCACATGGTTCTTATTGAAGCCAAGAAGAGCCACACCTTTGTGCCTGAAGTGTGGGGGCCCAAAGTGTTTACATACATTCATACTATACAAACATACTTATGATATGTATGTAGGTATTTATAGATATATGACAACCTGTTGCATATATTAGATAGTGGCATGTTTCAAGAGAAAATAATAAAAATGACAGTGTCATTCATCTTTCCTAAGGTAAAATGATCCTATTCCTTTTTAATTATTTCCAGCTTTTGAAAATTATACACATGAAATACTTTTGATATCACCACTAGTTTATTCACTGTGTGGCCTTCTACCATCTTAACTATACAAATGCTCTTCCATAAACTTAATTTAATGTGCAGAACTTCCTGTGTTGGATTTTCCTAAGTAATATGATTACTTATCGAAATTTTTAAAAATCCTTTCTTAACCACAGCTATCACAAAGACGGCTTCCTTTTCAGATTGTGTAGGGGGGGGAATGGGTAGTAAGGGGGCGATGGTTTTGGTTTTTAAATTAGCCATTGTAACTTACTCTCCATCTACTCACAGATCTCAACAATAAATAGTATTCATGGTTATGATACTAGAAAACAACTGAAAATAAATCACTGTTTTATATTATGAACTCAACTGCTCTAAACCCCTATACAGATACTTGTAAGATACTAACTGGAGCAAAACACAAATAGGCACTAAGTAGAAGTTGAGTGATTTAAAAGTAAAATAGAAATCAAGGACCATGACCCTACTTTATTGACGCTTCAAAAGACTTTGGGAAAATGAGACATAAAGGAAAAAAATCAAAGCAGCAGTACTTATATGCTGTAGTTATAGCTTCATGAAAAGTCAGGCAAGGTCTCATTACCAAAAAAACCCCCAAAACTGAAATGAATGCAAAAGCCATAACCCTCTTCTCCAGTCTGTGGAAGTTCAGGTTTGTTTAACCAGTGGAAAGAAGTCCTGTAAAGATTTATCTTGGGGCCATAATCACCCAGCTCACTGAACGGTGAGGAATACTTCCATTTCCATAGGCCTCCAGACCGCCTAAAAATGCATAGGAACCTGCAACCTGGACAAGTGACTGCCTCCTGGGCCTAAATATTAGAAAAGTTCAAGTTTCCCAGAAGGCACAGCTGAGGGTTGGTTGTTTTTGTTTTTGTTTTTTAAGAGATAGGTGCCTTCTGTCACCTGAACTAATATTAATACCATGACCCAATTTTTAAATTTTTATGGAAAATGAAACGATGTAATGCAATGTTTAGAGAACACTCTCAGAACCAAGAAGATCTTGGTTCATGTCCTGCTGACTGATGACCCTAGACTAATTGATTAACCTCTCAGTGCTTGAGGCAACTCAACTCCAAAGTTGTTGAGAAGGTGCCAGCCATCATTGATAGGACTCCAACCCAGTGAAATCTCGGGTCTACCCCTGTGCCCATGTCTGTTATAAATAAAACATTGACTTTGAAGATGAATGGTTAAATCTTTCACTTCACTGCCCTATGGGGCCATTTTTTTGAGTTATTTTATTTTTGTTCTAATTAGCATATTATTGATGATTGAACCAAGAGCTGCATGATGACTCCACTGAGACTAACCATGATTCTTCAGGCAGACATGCTTAATATGCCTCTGTTTGACCTGTGGTTCTTCATCAGATCCCAGTGCAAGTCACATGCACCTATGCATGTGTGTATGCAGAGACACACACAAAACTTAATGACCATTCATAGGCTTGCAGTAGAAAATAGTGTGAGGATCTCCCTACTATCCCAGTGGAATTCTTTGTGGTTGGAAAAGTTATGGGTCTTGATTGTGCATCTGCTGGGATTTTAACCTTTTTTTGTGTCATGCACCCCTTTAGTAGTTTAATGTAATGGATGGACCCCTACTCAGAATAAAATTTTTTAATGCATAAAATAAAATACAGAAGAGTACAGAGAAAATCTGTTTTATTAAAATTAAATTTACAGGTCCCCCCCAGCCTAAGAATCCCTAAGAACCCTGACTGAAGAGACATCGTCTTGAAAGCCTGTCAGTGATGACCATTTCATCCTTCCGATCCTCTAAACCCCTCAGCCAACACAGAGTCCTAAGTTACTTGGGGGCAGTTCAACTTTTCAATTTCTGTTAACCTTAATGTCAATTCCACAGCTAAATCCCAATGCAACTCTGGACTTCCTGCCTTCTGCAGCTCTGAAGCATAAGGATCTCATGCTTCCAGATGGAAGGCAATGTCAACTATTCCTCATCATTACTGATAAGATCTACCCTGAGTTCATGGCAGCCTCCATATCTCGTAGCATTCCTATGATGTCATACTAGGCTGGACTAGAAGTCAGAGATTGGCTCTGTGAAAACGCTATATGTAATCTTGGGGGGAAAGAATGTACAATGCCTCAGTTTCTCCATCTGAAACTTGGGTAACCATGCTTCCCTATACCTTTATATCCCAACCCAGACCTCCCCACACAAAGGGAAGTGCTTAGTCCTTATCCTAGAAGGATGTAGCCATTGTGTAACATCTAAGAGGTGTTTAACACAAAAATAGGAATTAAGGTTACTGATTCATTTAGATTAATATGAAGAATGACCCAATGTGAAAGAGGAGGAAACAGCTATATCAGCTGTCACACAGCCTCCTGATCATTTTAAGAGGAATAACAGCTGCTGCCCCAGAAACCATGACCCTGCGTAGTTCTCTCCTACTCCTGCACACCCCCGCATCTCCCAGCAAACTAAGTATCATTCGGCAGCCGTCTGTGGGAGAGCTCGAGTGAGGAGGTTGTATTCAGCCGTTCCCATGCATCAGTGGCGAGTATTTCAAACTTGGTCTTGTGCCCCTTGAGTCTTAGCTAATTTGAATGCTCAAGTGAGATTTGGTGGCTTCTGAAATATTCATAGGTGACTTGTTTCCTCTGTGTTTTCTTTAGATGGGTCACAGCGACCCAAATACAGCAATATTTCCCTGGAGTAACTTCCTCCTTATTAACTGTTTTCCCGCTTGTTCTTGTCTTTTGACTTAATTGTGCTGCCTTCTGCAAAAGGCAGGCTTCCACTCTACATCTCGGTGCCCCATCTGCTCAGCAAAAATAAAAGAATGCTAATTTAACCACTGTATCCTCAAGACCACATCTCATTTTCTAGCGTCAGCAACCTGATTCGAGTTAGCTTTTGAGAGCAAGATGGGGCCAGCATTAAATACTGCTCTATTTTAAAGGATCTGAACTGTAAAAAAAAAAAAAAAGTTCCTTTCCCTTAATACTTTTAAAATACTTTTTGGGGTTCCCCACTATAAAATAGGCTTTTTTTTTTCTAAATGCTCACTCAGGGGACCTAGTGGTCTTACCATAAATTTTGATATACAGAGATGTCTTTATTTGAACAAATTCCCTGGGAACAAAGCTTCTTTATATGAAGGCAGTCACGTTTAAAAAAAAAATCTTCATAAATCATGCAGAGAGGCCTGCATCTGCAGCTGCAAAGACAGAAATATCCACAAAAACAGCTTCAATCTGTCCCTGTTCAATTGAAGGTAAAGAGAGCCCACCAGAGGAAAGATTCTGATAATCAGCTGAAATGGTCTTCAGGGTCTGTAGATTAGGAGGTCTTTTTTTTTTATTTTGTTAAATATTTCCTAATGTAAAAATTTTTTTTCAAAATCATTTTTTAAAATTTTGTGTTCCAAATTTTCTCCCTCTTTCCCATCTTTCCCCTCCTCTTTGAAAAGGCAAGCAATTTGATTTTGATTATACACATGAGGTCATGCAAAATATATTTCTGTATTAGCCATGTTGCAAAAGAAAACACAAACAAAATAAAACAATAAAAACAAAATAAAAAAGTAAGCTTCAAAAGGTATTCAGAGTTCATCAGTTCTCTTTCTGGAGGTAGATAGCATTTTTTATCGTGAGTCCTTTGGAAATATCTTGGATCATTGTCTTAATCAGAGAAGCCACGTCTTGCAGTTGGTAATTATTACAGTATTGGTGTTACTGTGTACAATGTTCTCCTAGTTTTGCACACTTTACTTTGCATGAGTTCATATAAGTCTTACCAAGTTTTTCTGAAACCATCTCCTTGTCTTTTCTTATGGAAAAAGAAAAATATATAGATATATAAGTGTATATACGTAGAGAAATACTACATATAGTATTTCATCACATCATATACCATAACTTGTTCAGCCATTCCCCAATTGATGGGCATCCCCTTGATTTCCAATTCTTTGTCCCTACAAAAAGAGCTACTATAAATATTTTTGTACACAGAGGTCCTTTTCTCTTTTCTTTGATTTCTTTGGAATACAGACCTAGTAGTGGTATTGCTGGGTCAAAATACACACGGTTTTATAACCCTTTGGTCGTAGTTCCAAATTCCTCTTCAGAATGGTTGGAGTAGTTCACATCTCTACTAATGGTGCATTAGTGTCCCAATTTTTTTGCATCCCCTCCAGCATTTGTCATTTTCCTTTTCTGTCATATTAGCCAATCTGATAGATATGAGGTGTTATCTCAGAGTTGCTTTGATTTGCATTTCTTTAATCAGTAGTAATTTAGAGTATTTTTTCACGTAACTATTGATAGCTTTGATTTCTTCTAAAAACTGCCTGTTCATATTCTTTGACCATTTATCAGCTGAGGAGTGGCTCATAATTTATAAATTTATCTCAACTCCCTATGTATTTGAGAAATCAGACTTTTATCACAGAAACTTGCTAATTTTTCCCAATTTACTGTTTTTCTTCTAATTTTGATTGTATTGGTTTTGTTTATGCAAAAACTTTGTAATTTCATGTAATCAAAATTATCTGTATTTCCCATAATCCCCTCTATTTCCTATTTGGACATAAACTCTTCCCTTATCCATAAAGCTGACAGATGCATTTTTCCATGCTTCCATAATTTACTTATATCACTGGTATAAATCATTTTAAACATTCTGACTTTATCTTGGAATATGTTGTGAAATGTTGGTCTATGCCTAGTTTCTGCCAAACTGCTTTCCAGTTTCCCTAGCAATTTTTGTCAAATGTTGAGTTTTTATCCCCAAATCTTGGATCTTTGGATTTATCAAACACTAGATTAGTATGGTCATTTACCACTGTGTATGTTGGACCTAATCTATTCCACTGATCTACCAGTCTATTTCTTAGCCAATACTACATTGTTTTGATGATTACACACTTTGTAATGTAGTTTGAAATCTGGTATTCCTAGGCTGTCTTCCTTAACATTTTTTTATTGATTCTTTTGATATTCTTGACCTTTTCTTCTTCCAGATGAATTTCATTAACATTTTTTCCTAGGTCTGTAAAGTAATTCTTTGGTAGTTTGATTGGTATGACACTGAATAAGTAAATTAACTTAGGTTAAACTGTCATTTTTATCTTTTTCCTCTGCCTACCTATGAGCAATTAATATTACTCCAATCATTTAGATGTCTTTTGTTTGTACAAAAAGTACTTTTGTAATTGCGTTCATGTAATCCCCAGGTTTGTCTTGGCAGGTAAACTCCCAAGTATTTTATGTTGCCTGTAGTTTTCTTAAATGAAATTTCTCTATCTCTTCCTGCTGGATTTTATTTGTAGTTCATAGAAATGCTGATGATTTATGTGGGTTTATTTTATATCCTGCAACTTTGCTGAAGTTTTTCAATTTTTGAACTAGTTTTTTAGTTGATTCTTTAGGGTTCTCTAAGTATACCATTATATCATCTTCAAAGAGTGATAGTTTTGTTTCCTCGTTGCCTATTTTTATTCCTTCAGTTATTTTTTTTTGTTGTTTTATTGCTGTAGCTAAGATTTCTAGTACAAAAATATTGAATAATGGTGGTGATAATGGATATCCTTGCTTCACCCCCAATCTTATTGGGAAGGCTTCAAGTTTATCCCCATTACAGATAATGCTTGCTATCAGTTTTAAATAGATACTACATATAATTTTTTTTAAAGCCTTTATTGATTCCTATGCTTTGTAGTGTTTTTAATAGCAGTGGATAGAGGAGGGGTTTTTAACCTGGGTTCTATGAACTTTTCTTAAAAAGTATTCTGAATATTTTGAAATACAGTGAAATACTGTTTCAATATAATTGGTTTCCTTGGTAATCCTATATGTTTTGTTTTATTCATTTAAAAAATTATTTTGGGATGGGGTTCATAGTCCAGACTGCCAATGAGGAGTCCTGGTCAGAATGAAGGGTTAACAATCTCTGCTAGGCTCTCCTTTGGTTATTTCTTTTCCTCTTCTCTCCCACCCAGTCCTTCTGCTTCCATGGTGAGGATTCTGATGGAAGGCATTTGTAGTTATTGACTGGACCTACAATAAGACTCAGTCACACTGAAGTGTCACCTCAATAGAGAACTTGTTTGATTTTAAGCCTTGACAAGTAATTCTAAATATAAAGTAAAATGCTTTATCGTCCATAACTAAGTTTGGGGTTTCAGCATCTAAGTGGGGCGATTTTTGCTTTAAGCATAAACCACAAATATCACAATTTCTTTAGCCTCCTGTTTTCCCAAGTCTCCTGTCCTACCTCCCGTGAACTTTGTTCCAACCATAAGTTCCCTGCCAACCTCCCCAAGGCTCATAGAAGCAGTTTTTAGGTTTTATGGCACATTTATATTATTTCAGTTGTTATTCAGTCTTGCATACTGTAACCTCCTCTTCCCTCTCTTTCACGTCTGGGCCCTTGAACATATCTCTATGTCTCCTGTATCAGTAAGTTTCTGATAAGTATGTTTTTAGGAAGCATCCTCTTCATTAATGAAGGTATTGCTGTACTATTCCTCCTAAATCTTCTATCAGAATGCAAACTCAACATGACTTAGCGACATTGTATGACATGAGCTAATGTGCTATCTGGCTGCATTATTAGAAGTATAATGTCCAGAGCAAAGAAGGATAATCCTGCTCTGCCCCATCCTGGTCAGAACATTCCTGGAAAATTCTATCTAGTTCTGGATGCCATATTTTCTAAAGGGCATTGACTAAATTTCAGTGAGGTTGTGTGACTTGACAAAAGTCATATGAAGAGTAAGTAGCAAAGCTAGGATTTTAACCTAGTTCTTTTGATCTAAATCCAGTGTACTTTCTACTATGCCATGAGTGAGCCTTTTACAACTTTAAGATTCCATGATTAACATTTTACTATACTTTTTTTTGTCTAATATAAACTCATGGCTTTTATAGCAGAAAACTATAGTTTCAGATAACTTCTAGCAATGCCCCAAGGAAGAGGCCCCAGTTGAATAAAGGTACCTTGGTCAATTGAATTCCACCAGCAGTAGAGTCTCAGAGAATGTTTGAGTTGGAGGTGCAGTCATTAATCCACTTGAAGAGTACTGATTTTCTTTCCCAGTCACCAGCCAATGAAAAAAGTGGAAATTATTCACATGTGACTCTACACTATTTTCTTCTCACAGTAAAAGACAGAGGAAGTTATATATACTCAACATTAGTTTAAAAAAAAACGTTTTATAGCCAGCTCACAACTGAGGGCAGCTAGGTGCCACAGTAGATAGACTGCCTGGTCTGGACTCATCTTCCTCAGTTAAAATTTCACCTCAGACACTTACTAGCTGTGTGACTCTAGGCAATTCACTTAATCCCATTTGCCCCAGTTTCCTCATCTGTAAAACGAGCTGGAGAAGGAAAGGCAAATCACTCCAGTATCTTTGCCAAGAAAACCCCAAATGAGGTCAGGAGGAGTCAGACATGACTGAAAAATAACAACAGATTTGCTCTGCTTGGCCCTGGAGAACAGAACTAAGAACCATAGGTGGAAGTTATGGAAGGACATACTTAGGCCACCACATTATTCCTCTTACCCTTTAACCTTCTCTTCTCTAAGTAAAGCATTTCTTCAGCCAGTCTTCATATAGCATGAACTTGGAGCCTTTCCTGCACTATTCAGGTTACTCATCTCTAGATGACCTAGTAGGTGATCTCCTGCTTAATGATATCCTTTTTCAAATGTGGCGCTAAGAACTAAACATGATATTCTAGAAGTGTTCAGCAAAGTGTAACAACAGTATTACCTCCCTAGACCTGGACACTCTTCCTATCTTCCTTCTGCCATAGATTGCTCTAATTTCTTTGACTGCCTTATCACATTGGAAACCATGCAAATTTTATGACAGGACTTAAAGGTGAGGAAAATAATGCTCAGGTAAGTTGATTACGCAGCTAGTGAGGAGAAGTGCTGAATCTCAGTTCCAGTCTTTCTGATTCAAACCACAATATGCCTTCCATTACACTACACTGCCCCTCAAGCTACATGACCAGAAATGACCACCCTAGTAACCACCAGATTGATGTAGTCATAAAGTACCAGGTTGATTCCCTCCTTGACTTCTAAAGACATAATCTTAGATAACATTGGCACAGGCAAACCATATCAAGGATATAGCTTATTCAAAATAACTGAAGAAACACTAAACAAATAAAATAAATGCAAAAATAGTAGTACTAACAAATGTTCATTTTATGGCATTAGGAGAAAGAGTTGAACAGTGAAATGGGTATTATTAGAGTTTTATGTTTAGACAGTGAGGCCAGGAAAAAACTAACACCTCTTTGCAGTCAGTCATGGAAGGCCTTGTACAGGTGATGTTTTTAGAACGTATTTGGATAATAAGAGGAAGAGATGTGGACAGGCTCAGGAAATAAGGGCATTGTAGGATATCTGGGAGGACTGGAAGTAGGACTACTATGAATGGATAAAAGGAAAAGTGAATTTTAATTTTCTTTGGAAAGCTAGAGGGAATGGGTAAGTGAATGAGTGGAAAACTAAGGAAGTGAGAGATAATCCTTTTGAGGAGCAAAGCGTCTGTTTTTCAATAGATTGCACATTTCAATAAGAATAGAATTGTAGAATTTTGAAGCTGGATGCTACCTCAAAGACTATCATGTCTCACCTTCTCATTATACAGATGAGAAAACTGAGGCTCAAAGAATAAGTTGCATGGCTACTCAAAAGCAGAACTAAAAACCCAAGTTTCCTGACTCCCACTTCCACGTATTTTCCACTGCTCTACAAATAATGTCATTCTGCAAATACTGTATTGTGCCATTGTGTTTTTCAGAGTGATGACTCAGATGAAGAAGACCTATGTATCAGTAACAAATGGACTTTTCAAAGGACAAGCAGGAGATGGTCTCGAGTGGACGACATCCACACGTTGTTCCCCCAGGCAAACAGACATGGATCATCAGGGGACGTCAGAATGAAAACCACCACAAGCAGTGAGAGTGTCCTTACTGACCTGAGTGAACCTGAGGTCTCTTCTATCCACAGTGAAAGCAGTGGAGGAAGCGACAACAGGAGCCAGTCTGGCATTAACAGTACTGGCAGAGAGGCGTTTGACTGTATGGGACAGTACTGTGGGGACGCCCCAGTCATGCTCGACTCCACTTTAGTCAGTGGCAGCTTCTTACAGAACCCCAAAGACATTGCCAATTATACTTTTCACCCAAAGAATGAGAAACCAGCACGGACCAGAGCCAAATCTTTCCTAAAACGCATGGAGACGCTAAGGCCTAGAGGGACTCATGGCAAGGTAAAGGGATCAGCAAGGACAGGTGGCTTGGTGATAAGTGGGCCTGTTCTTCAACAGGAGCCAGAATCCTTAAAGACCATGCACTGTGTGCCATTAGCAAATGGGGATTTCCAAAACCCACCCCAAGATGCAGCCAAGAAAGGACTTCCATTCTCTGCCAAATCCAGCAGTGACAGCAGCCAATCTGAAAACAGCAGTAGTGGTGTGAGCACACCCTGCTTGAAGGATCGCAAGTGCCATGAAGCCAACAAACGAGGGGGGATGTATCTGGAAGACCTAGACGTTCTGTCTGGGACCGTACTGCGGGAAGTCATCGACCAAAACCATAAAAATGACTTTCACTCCCAGGAGAATCTTGTGGTCCATATTCCCAAAGACCACAAGCCAGGAACCTTCCCTAAGGCGCTTTCTATTGAAAGCCTCTCACCAACAGATAATAGCAATGGGGTGAACTGGAGGACGGGCAGCATCTCTCTGGGCAGGCAACAGTGCCCTAGTACAAAAGAACCTAGACTTATGGCTTCTTGTCACAGAGAAAGTAGAGTTAGTATTTATGACAATGTCCCTGGCTCACACTTGTATGCCAGCACTGGAGATCTTTTGGACTTAGAGAAGGATGACCTCTTCCCCCATTTAGATGACATTCTGCAACATGTTAATGGACTCCAAGAAGTAGTGAACCACTGGTCAAAGAATGTCTTGCCTGAGCTACAAACAGATGATGCATTAGTTGGGGAACCTGGCTTGTCAGCCTTTCCATCCCCCAACCAGATTACATTAGATTTTGAGGGGAACTCTGTTTCTGATGGTCGTACAACACCTAGCGATATGGAAAGGGATGGAACCTCCCTTAATGACTCAGAGGCAGCTGGAGTCAGAGAAAGGAGGGATTCTGGGGTTGGAGCATCACTCACCCGGCCAAACAGGTTGGTAATAACAGTGATACACTTTCCTTTTTTCTCCACTAATTATGAGGAAACTCTGTCAACAGAAATAAAGCATTCATTCAGGAAAGTACAGTGATTGAACTAAGTTGAATTCCTATAGTCCTGAATGTTTATCCTCTATTTGTGCTTTATAAGTTTAGCTAGAATGTTTAATTGGGATTTAAAATTTTTGATTTACTCAAAAGGAGGATCTCTGTGACCTAGTAGAATAGCATTTTTGTAAATTTGATCTTGTTTTGAAATTCCTTTTAATAAAAACCAGACTCTTGACTTACAGTGTAAAACCACTTCACAAAAAAAGTGACTGTATAGTGATTATCTGGTAACAAATCCTTTCTTTCTTTTATATAGGAACATTAACACCATGTAGATTAGTACTTGTGTGTGGCAAATCCAGGAAATATCTCTGGAGTTCACTGAAATGTAGTATGATTACTGTGAACATGTTTCCTTTGTATTTGTCACCTCCCCCAAACCCAAGTGAATTTCATTTGAAAAGTTGGAGTTGATAAAAATGCCCAGTGGTTTTTAATAGAAATGTAAAGTACCATTTGCAAAGCAGTATAGAAAACTACTTTTCTATGATAAGTAGCATAGATATAAAAGTAGCGTAGATAACTATTCTATAACCTCTGAATATTTAAGAAGTACTTATTTGTTAAAAAAAAAAAAACCAACAACAACAAAAACAAAAAAAGGGCAGGCAGGTGGTACAGTGGATTGAGCTCCGGCCTTGGAGTCAGGAGCACCTGAGTTCAAATCTGGCCTCAGACACTTGACACTTACTAGCTATATGACCCTGGACAAGTCATTTAACCCATTTGTCTCTTGGGGGAAAAAAAAACTCTTTGGAACCCAAAAGGAAGTGGACCTTTATATTTCCTTATTCTATATGGCTAACAATAATTAATAATAATGATGATGATAATAGAGAGTGTTATATAGAGCTTTAATGTTTTCTTCCACCTTTTCTATAGTTTACTGAATATGATCCAGTGAGCCTTGCTTTGCTATCTGCAGCTTTACAAATATTACCTCATTTTATCTCTCACAACAACCCTAGGAAGTAGGAGCTATCATTATCAGGAAGCTAAGGCAGACAGGTAAATTGATTTGTCCAGGGTCACACAGCTAGTAAATATGTGAAACTAGATTTGAATTCAAGTCCTGACTTCAAGTCCAGTGTTCTATCCACTTGTTCCACCTGGCTGCTTTTGGTTTTCTTAGTTCTGTGTATATATATTAACTCTTGCCAAATACTAATAAATTATCATCGTCATGTATTTTTGAGTCATATAATAATCTATTTCTCTGGTCTTCTGGTGAAGGAGGTTACGATGGCATAGTTTCCAGATCTCCCATCAGCCGACTCACTCCATAGCATCTCCACAAATCAGTAATCAGACAGCTGGCCAGTTGAATCTCCTCCAGCGATTCTCACTCCTCCGCCTCACTGCCATCATGGAGAAGTATTCCATGTCAAATAAACATGGCTGGACGTGGTAAGGAGCATATATTTACCTAAGAATAAATTGTTTATTCTAGTCTGAAGCAACTTAAGGTAGTAGCAAAGGCTTGATCGCTTTATTTTCTGTGTTCTAAAAAGCCAGCCCAGCAGTGTGACCTTTTCTAGAATTTACTGAGTATGATCCATTAAGCCTCGCTCTGCCATCTGTAGCCCCACACATCATTATGGGCAGTCACAGCTCGCAGATACCTAGATTCTAGTAAGCTTTGCTTTATTTGGAGTCCTCAGTTGGTTTCCAGGGAAGGTAGTCAGGCTTTAGGAAAGGAAAAATAAGATGAGTAAAGGATGATTAATTATGAACAGAGAAATTAAAAATAAACTTGCCATAAAATTAGTCTGGCAGTTTGAAAAGGAACATCTGTGGCTTGTACCTCATAAGTGTGTAGCTTATTGGGAAGAGCTCAACACTTAACTCCATTTATTGAATTCAAAGGGTGTCTAATTCTGTCAAAAAAATTTTTATTTTTGTTTTATTGGCAAATACAAACAAGAGTACACAATAAACCTTGTGCCTAAGGAGCTGGCAAAAATGTAGGTTGGGACTTAACTCTGGGCCAGCTTTGGGTGGTTTAGAGAATTTGAGATTTGAGATATGAGTGTGAGAAATCTATTCTATGTGGATTTAAATGTTCTAAAGCTTATTGATACCAACATAGTTGACTGCAAAAAGAATTTAGAAAAAATTAGAAATGTGGCCATTTTTATAGTAAAAATTGTGCATATGTAATTAGCTATTAAATAAATTTTTCATTTATATTTTCTATAAAGTATCAATTTCCTTTCTTCTGAAAGTAAAGTTTGAAGTAAAGGAAAGGGATGTTGCTTCTTATCTTAAAGATGGGCACACCCCCTTTTTCCTGGTTTGTTTATTGTTTTGTGTTAAGTGTATTCCTTCCTTCAGATCACAGCCACCCACTTTAAGGCTGCCAAGTCCTCATCCTTGAGAACAGGGTTTATAGCTATTTCCTGCTAAAATAAATTTTATTTGGTTGCTTCATAGTCCTTAAAAGTCTTATATGATGCTCAGTAAGAGTGGAAAAACCTAAACTCTATTTGTGTTCAATGAGGTTCTTAAAAAAAAATAGGTCCAGGCTTTTGCTCTTGCAAAAGCAGCCCCTCTTCTTAGGAGCCTGTATAACCTGGTTCATGTGAATTCTAGGTCAGTGCCAAAGTTCATGAAAAGGATGAAAGTGCCTGACTACAAAGACAAGAATGTCTTTGGTGTTCCACTGATTGTTCATGTCCAGAGAACAGGACAGCCTCTTCCTCAGAGTATTCAGCAAGCACTGAGGTATCTGCGCAGCAACTGCCTTGATCAGGTAAACTGTTGTTTCATTTTAAGCCATAATGTGAGCGACTCTTCCTAGGAGAGCAGACTGCCTTGGAACTGCCTCCTATCATGGAAAAGAGGCCTGCTTCGGAAGAGCATGGAGAAAGACGGGGGCACTCTTTCTCCATTAAATGTTTACTTGGTCCAAACCAACTATCTGCCCAAGTAATAGGATGAGGTTTTATTGTTGAAAGACTAAGTGAAACTCCTGCAATGATTGGGGTAGGTGGGAAACCCTCACCTTAAAGCAGAGAGGTCTTAACCTTTTTTGTGTGTTATGAACCCGTTAAGGAGCTGGTGAAAGCCAATGGAATAGGCTCACTATTGTAAGGAAGCTCTAAAACAAAGACACATTATTTTACATTCAAAAATAAACCTAAGAAAAATATAGAGGGCAGCCTACGTGTCCTACTGGATAGTGCCAGGCCTGGAGTCAGGAAGGCTTGTCTTTCTGAGTTCAGATCCGGCCTCAGAAACTAACTAGCTGTGTGACCCTAGACAAGTAGCTTAACTCTGCTTCAATTTCTTCATCTGTAAAATGAGCTGGAAAGAAAACAGCAAACCACTCCAGTATTTTTGCCAAGAAAACCCCAAATGGGGTCCTGAAAAGTCAGACACAACTGAAACAATGAACAACAGAGAAAAATATGAAAATAATATCAGCTATACCAAATGCCACTTTCTACCTAACCAACAACAGAGACAATGGAGGGGGAAAAAGTGAACTATGCTTGTCTGGACCAGGTCAAAAGGGATTAGCCTAGTGGGCTATCTGATTACTATTAATGAGCCCAATTCTCTTCTTTGAAGTGAGAAGCAAGAGTGTATTTTGAGACAGTGGGGACAAAAGCCTTTAGAAGTCTCTTCTCACTGGCTTAAAATATTTTTAAAGGAATAAAAATACATAGGATTTTGGAAGAAACCAATTATATCAAAATATAGTTACTAAATATATAGGTATATATATTTTTAAAATAAAACCAATTCGTATTTATGTATATATGTGTGTGTGTGTGTGTGTGTGTGTGTGTGTGTGTGTGTGTGTGTGTGTGTGTATATATATATATATAGAGAGAGAGAGAGAGAGAGAGAGACATGTATATATGTATATATATACACACGCATTTTTAATAAAACAAATTCATAGACCCCCCCCCAGCATAAGAAAAAAACCCTTACATTAAAGATTTGTTGGCGATCCAAAATGGGTTAATTTGAAAGTGTAAGTTCTTTAGACTCTGTATTGTTTTTTGTTTTGTTTTTTTTTTTAAATTTTGGGCCCACTCTCATTAAGTCTGTATTTTCACTTATGTTCCTTGTATCCCTGTTTCATTCTTTGTTTTAAGATTTAGGCCATATATCTCATTATTCCTTTTCTTTCTTTTTTTTTTTTTAGAGCTCCATTTTCATGATGAAACTTTGACCAAAACACATTTATTTACATTCAAAAATAAGCCTATATAAGAAAAATACGAAAGCAATGTCAGTTACACCAAATATACTTTTTACCCAACCAACAAAAGTTAATAGAGAAAAAAGTAAACTATGCTTTCATGGACAAGGTCAAAAGAAAGCCTGTGTTACTGTTAATGAGCCCATTTCTCCCCTTTTGAGCAAAAGTCAAAAGTATATTTTGAGATAGTGGGGATGGAACCTTAAAAGTCCCCACCCACTGTTTCACCTTGGATTTCACACCTTGGATTCCACACCTTGGATTCATAGCCAACTTTATGTACCTTTCCCCATTAAGAAAATGGAAGGATCTGAAGCCGGCCTCTGGTCCTTAAGTTCTAGGAGGAAAAAGTAGGGAGTTAGTTAGCTTGGGGGACAACTAAGTATATGTCTGTTCTTTAAGATTAAATGAGATAATATATTGAGAGCATTTTGCAAACTTTTAAAATCTTATATAAATTATATTAACATTACAAGTAAGGCAGTCTAACAACTTAGATAACAAAGGGATTTGCTGCAATCACTAGTAAATTTTCACATATAATCATAATAGCTGGCATTTATAAAGTGCTTTAAAGTTTGCAAAATGCTTTACATGTATTATCTCATTTAATCTCCATAACCTAGTGAATTAGGTGTTATCAGTCCCATTTTATAGACAAGAAAACTGAGGCTAAGAGAGGTTAAGTGACTTGCCCAGCCTCATGCAGTAAGTATCTGAGACAGGATTCAGACATAGGTCTTCCTGACTGTGTCTAGCACTCTCTGCGCTGTCATACCTAGCTGCCTCTAATTTGCTGATTGGTAGCAAAGTTTATATCCTTGTATGGACCTCCTAGCTCTCATAAGAGAATGTAGAAGGAACATAACCATTAGAATATAAGCTCCTTGAGGGTAGGGATTGTCTATTGAATTTGTATCCCCACTGCCTAGCATTTTGCTTAGCATTTAAATAAATCCTTTTCATTCCTAAGAACATGTGGGAGAATCTGGCCCTTCCCAAGTAGCCTTTGACATGCCTTTGATGTGTTTTTCTCATCTTCACCCTCACATTAAAAATAATATCTTCAAGCCCTCTTTATTAAGTGATAGCTTCAGGGGGGAATGTTATATAATTTATATACCTGCCTGCCCCATTCATGTCTTCCTCAGCACCTATATAATGTCTTGAGGTCTTGTACCTCTTACAAGGCTGATAGGAATATCTATGTTGTTTGTCTCAAGTTTATAGCCCCATTTGGAGGTGCTAATGGCTCAGTTTTCATCTAGTACAAAATGTTGGATTACTGTCTAAGCATTAACTCTGATTGTCAGTGATTTTTACTTTCTCTTGCAAATGAGGCTTGAGCCCAAGCTTTATGCAATGTTTTCTGGCATGTACTTTTCCCTTGCTGTGAAACCTTACTGGTCACTGTAGCTTCATGTGCTGATTTCTTCTCATTTGATATGCCTGACATTCTTATTAGCCTAAAAAGCATGTAGCCAGTTCTACACAATTTCTATGTGCTTAAGAGATTGGGTGATATCAGTATGTATATCAGTAACAAACCATTTAGTTCTTCCATATCTCAAACTTTCCATCAGGCCTGTCTTCTTGTATGATATGTCACTTTGTGGAGACACTGCCGATTGTGGGTTTGTTTTGTTCTACTCTTAAACAGAGATGACTTGCAAAGAATAATCTATGGCAGTTCTTTTGGCCTTCAGCAGACCTGTACCATCTTATTAAACCAACCACTTTGCTTTCCTCTCTTCAGAACACCATCTCCAAAGATCTTAAATTGCTAGGGTGTTGCCATCACAACCCTATCATTTATCTTCAGAATGGTCTCATGAATTATTTCTTTGAAAAGATTATCCGCACATTAACGTATGGACTATGTTGATATCACCACAATGTTGAAACTCTCCCCCTATTCTTCTAGAATAGAATGATGACATTAAATATATCTATAAACATATTTTTTATGTTTATACTCTCTACCAAAGAAAAAAAGAGGGAAGGGTAGGTGGGAAGTGCAGGGGGAAACATTTATACATGAGGTAAAGTTGCTGATTTCCTTGCTCCACGTGTTATCTCTTTTTGAGCTATAAAACTGTCTATGCATCCTTTTTTAATGTTTGTCCCCATTACCTACTATTTGACATTCTGACCTTCTTCAAGGTCAGAAAACAAGTCTTTACCTTTCCCCTAGATCTATGCCATCATAAGATTGATGATTTCATTGGAATAGGCAATTCTCAGATGAGGAAATTCTTTTAACAATCCAATTTGGTAACTTCTTGGTAAAGTCTTAAAGAGTTTCCTAGTCTCTCAACTGAGACACTTGCCCAGGGTGACTCAACCAGCTTGTGTCTAAGCAAGATTTAAACTTGGGTCTTCCTGACCCTCAGGGCTAGCTTTTGATCCAGTCCTGTCAGATAGATGCTCTTATTGTCTCTTTTTCTTACAGTTGAAGAAACCGATACTGAAAGAGGTTGCCCAGGGTCAAATAGGGAGTGTCTAGGGTGGAATTCAAACTTAAATGTGACTTCAAGTCCAATATTATTATCAGCTATGCCAAGCTGCCTCCAAAAAGGGGACTGGGTCCTAGAGGAAAGAATGGGAATGGGTTAAAGACCAGTAACCAAAGTGAGCAGGAGGAAGAAAACAATAAGAAACAACAGTACAAAATAGAAGATGTGAAACAAAAAATAGGACCAAAATGATGTGGGTCAAAAGGAAAAGACCATTTTAAGGTATTTGAAAACAAAGAACGTAAGGGGAAAAAAAGAGAGAAAAGTAAAGTAAAATAAAATTCATCTTTCCAATAACACCAGCTTCTTTGAATCGAGAAGAATGGTGTGTGCTAACAATTTGGGACCCTGTCCCCAAATAACATAGATGTAGACCAAAAGGTTGCCCTCACTCCCTAGCTCTGAATCACCCAGAGTCCGTTGCTTGGCTAATCATGTCTGCCGACAACCCCCCACTCCTGCCACTATCTAAGCCTCTTTCAAGGCTTTTCTGTTGGGTTGTGTTTTTTTTTTAACTGAGTCTTTTTAGCAACTGGCAAGCCCAATTCCCCATAACAAGCACTTATTTTAAATACTTGAGTATTGTACTGTGGAACCCTGAAGTATTGCCAAAATTACCACCTCATCCACTCACTGATGCTGAGTAGTTTATGTGTGATAAAGTATAACTTATCCATTTTTTGGCCCTTACATCTGGCTGTAGATGAAATGAGGAAATCTAGCCTTCAATTATGAGCCATTTGTATTCAGACATAGCATTTGGGTAAGAGGAGTCTCTGTGCCTTTCTTTGTTGGCTGAACTCTAATTTCAGTCCTAAATCAACTGTGCTTTGAAAAGTAGATTAGACTTGACTCATGGCAGAAATGAAGGCACTAAAACTACGAGCTAAACCTGTGATATAAACCTGCCATCTAATAGTTTGTGTAGAGCCTTCCCCTCTCCCCCTCTCTCCCTCCCCCTCTCCCCCTCCCCCCTTCCCCTCCCCCTCCCTCCCCCTCTCCCCCTCCCCCTCTCCCCAG